TTGTATTTTTTTAAAATGTCAATCTGCTGCAATATAAACGAAACATGGTCTAAACAACTGTAAAATAGAATAAAAGATATTTCGAAGGGTCAATTTCTATGCCCGTTAAGTGCACGCTCTTTAAGTGCAAGTGTACACATTTTCTTTTTTTTTTGTATTTGGTCCAAATGGGTGAACTTAGGGAGGTCTTACTGTATATTGATGTTGTAGCTGAATTCGTATTTTTTTTGTCTTTAGGTATTAGCATTTGTCCTAGAATTTGGATCTTGGATCGAAAACGTCTTTTCGTACTTGGCAATCTGCAATATGAATTTCATAATTTTCTGTCCTTTTGTAGTACTGCAATTATTAATAGATGAAAGATTTGAGGCTCTTGTATTTATTTTAAGATTTGCGATTTCGGTGTGGAAATGGTATTTATTCATTAACAGTGGTGCATTTTCTTATTTGAATTTCATTAAAATATTTTGGTTAGGGGGTATATATAATCAATTTTTCGGCATGATATTTAAAAATTTTGACTTGAGTACATTATTAATTATTTTTATGCCTTAAAATTCGTCACGGTACGCAATTAGAAATTCTCGTGATTTTATAGGTTATTTGTTTGGTTTTTTTGTCTTATGCGGTATCAAAGGATGGTTTTATGATTTTAATTTCATTAGATGGTTTTGTTTATTAAGTATATATAATTCATTTCTCATTCATATTCAATTCTTTACTTGAGTATAGTATTAACTATTTTTTTATTTTGTAGTCTTACTTGTAAGTGGACTTAATGCTCATTATTTTGTGAAATTGGGATTTATAGGACATGCATTTTATTTGTTCACTTTTTTTGCATGTTGTCATCTATTATTAGTTTCAGAATTATTTTTCTTTAATTTATTTTAATTCTGTCTTTTAACATCATTTCCTTATACTGCATTGATGTTTATTTTGCTGGTTGTTGAGTAAGGATAATGGAACTTCATTTTAAATTTGTTTTCTGAAAATAAAGTTGATAATTTTATCATTTTATTGTTCTATTGATACATATATCCTAAACTAGAGTGTCTAGAATTATGCACCGCAGAATTCTGGACACTCTAATCCTAAACTAATAAACTTGACCAATTATCAATAAAAAGATCACGAATTACGTCATTTGTATTACGTTAGTAAATAATAATCATTTTTTATTTGATACCTACGTTTTTTTGTATTACGTATAAAGGTGAACTTGCCAAGATTGTGCGAACAAAATATATTAAAATTCGTTGGTATTATTTCTAAAAATCTTTTTAAAGAATTATATTTTACCAATAAATAAGACAAACGGGAGTAATTCTGGCCTAATTTATTATCATCGCTCTTAGCCAATCAAAATCAATGATCTCTCATTCTGGGTCAATCATGGGTCAGGAAAATCATGTTTGTTATTTAATTTGCAAAAATAAAATTTCTCATCACAAGACTGTTATATTGCAAAATCGGGTTAGTATCTAGCATTCATTTTATTTGTTAATTTCTAAAATTGTGCAAATTTATATAGTTTTAATATGTATTTATTTATCACAAAAATTTTTTGAAAAACAGCAAACAGAGAGAGCGAAAAGATAGCCAGAATTTTGTTATTTGAGAAGCACGAATTCTAATCTAAAGAATTAACTAATCAGCTTTTGTGAATTGGAGAGGAAGGCGTAGTTAAAATATTATTTTTTAAAAATTCCCCTGGAGTTTCAAATTCCTCAAGGCTGTCGTCTGAATATTCATTAATTTTTTTAATTTCCTCTTCAATTTTTTTAATCTGATTAATGAATTCTTGTACCATGCACTAAAAATATATATATATATGAGAACTCGTAAATAAATTGCAGCTAAATTTTTTCATTTAAAACAGCAAAACTTAACTTTAATGCAAAACAAAAAGTCTATCATTTGACCGGCATGCTGAATTTCTAGCTTTGAAGGAATCTTGGCTGAACAAATATCGATTAGAACACCAAAGTTCTGGCTTGTGAACCTTACATATTGAAGAAGATAAATTTCTCCTTCTGCACAAAATATAATATTTGGTAAATATTAGTTTCAAAGGGTAAACATAAAAATGAATTGGACTACCTGACGTCTATATTGCACCCAGTTTAATACCATCAAATAGCCTACACAGCTTTGATGAAACTTTGTTTACTTTTTTCGAATAATATTTAATGATCGTATTAAAATTATCATTCAGGGCTTGAATATTTTTTTTGTAATCATTTTTGCCATTAATTCCTGGAAGTTTCACTTCACCCAGTATAGGATAAATATATCCATATTTTTTCTCTCCTCTCTCTTTATTAATTCTAAAGGAAATAGCAACATCAACTTTTTAAGGTACTTTTTTTTTGATGTAATGACCCCTTTTTTATACTTATCGGGTGTTTTTAAATCTTCTTTTTCAACAACGGTATAATCATTCTTAGAAGATCGATGATAAACTTTTGGATTTTGATTATTGATGATAATAGTATCCTTTATTTCATCTGTTATTTTTGAATCGTCGCTCAATAGTACACTTTCAAGAGAAAACTGATTAAAAATTTGAAGATCAAATATTTCTCTATCTTCAAATGAAGATTCAAAAAAATGACTTTTTCGTTCATATGAACAGTAGGTAGGATGTTCAGGCCTATGTATTAAAATTATTGTCAAAAAGTGTACTAGTATAAAGGTTTTATTATTAAATATTTATCCATGTAAAGTGACATAATTTAGTAACCCTTCAAGAAATTTGTTTAAAGGTGATATGAAGGACAAGTGAGTATAATCCTTCTCATCAAGGTTTTCATCTTTTTTCCATGCAATTATCCTAAATTTAGATCAAGAGTTTAAGTAATATATAATAGATATATTTTTAAAATTGTACTTACCAAGATTGTAAAATTTCATTAATTGATGATTTAATTCGGTCACTAAATTCACTTTCCAATGTTAAATTAAGATACGGTAAACAATTATTTGAAATATCTGGATCTGAAAAATTTTCAATAGAAATATTTTGAGGGTGAAATTTTCAAAAGAAAGCTGTGTTGCATAATTAATTTCAGAAATGTCTTGAAGTATGATAGACTTGAATTGTCTTGCGAAGTTAATCCGGGAAAAATTTGTTCCAAGTACGCAGTGCCACAAATTAAAGTCATGAAAAAGATCAATTATCATGCAATAAAAAGAATCAAAAATATCTCATTGGATAAAATCTTTTTTGAAGCCATTTAAGGATGTTGAGGTAAAGAGAGGACAAATTTTCTAAATATAAAATAAATAAATTGATAACTAGAATAAATTCAAATCTGTAATATATTTTTTTCTAACCATTATTTCGATCTATTTTTTAAAGATACTTTGTTTTTTATTTTCTTGTATCCTTTGGATTATAAATTCTCAGTATTCCTTTATCATATTATTGACTAATTTCTCAAAATCATCAAGCTGCCCCAAGTCCTCGCATGAAGTCAGTTCCCAACAAAATCAGCCAGATGCAAAATTTATGAGATTAGGAATTAAATCAATTAACTTTAATTAAGAATTACCATAACTAAATTATGCAAAGCTAAAACATAAAACTTACCATTACTACTGCTGGTTCTATCTTCTTCACAGCGGGTAATATCTGTCCAGAATTGTTGAACATTGCTATTTTGTATCTCAATAAAAATAAAAAATTCAATTATTAGTTTAAAAACTAATATATAAAGTTCATTAACTAATATTTATTATTTATTCATATTAATAAAATTTAATAGTCTCATTCCATTTATATAGTCTCATTCCATTTATTTGGTCATTAGATGAATCTGGGTAACTGAATAGCCTGATTCAAATATGACCAACAATTAAGCAGCCAAATAAATTCAGGATAACTGAATAGCCTGATTCAAATGTTGATATATGAGTGGATATAACGAATGGAATTCAGAATAAGCTATCTCACTACCATCAATCTAATCAAGGAAAATTATATTAATTATAAACATAAACTTAATTAGTACCTTTTCTTGTGTAAGCTTTTTCAATTTATCTCTATCATATTGATTTGTAATGTCTTCATATAACTTTTTTGTCTTAGGTGATTGTTTATCTATTATATAGATTAAAAAAAACATTACTCTTGGTTAGAAAGACCAAATATAGTTTCATTTCTTCTCTTGATTTGATAGCAAATTTAATAATTACTAAGTGAAGCTATTATTCTTATTTGTGTAAAAAATACTTTATGGATTAATGTTTTGTGAAAAGATGAAACTCCATTATTCGAATTATGTTAAACATAATGTAGGAAGTCGTCGAGTCTTGGGAGGTTTGTTTCACAAGATCTGAGATAAGTTAGAAAACAGTTGAACAAAAAATCTTCAGTTAAAGAATCCATTTCAGTACAGCAGTAAGTACAGAAGTAAATATTTTGTGATATTAAGTATCTGATTTTAGAGACAATTTATATCATCACTAAATGTAAACAAATGCAGATCAACACATGATCAGGTCGACAATTACACTAGCGCTAGTAACCACTAAATTAAAATATAGACAATTAATTTTGCTTGAATTTATAACTTTGCAGACCCGTGGGACTGTCAAATCACGTGCCGCTGTGAACAAATTACAACAATCTACATTAAACTTTAACTACAATAAAATAATTCAAAAGAAAAATAATTCTGACAATAACGCAATAAGTAAAAAATTTATGAGTTGACAGAAAAGGTTTGCAATAGAGGTTGGAACTGGTTTTAAAATTAAAACTAGTTCCAACCTTGATTGTCATGTGATTTTAGTCAGGAAAAATGATCTACATTGTTTTGATTTAAAATTCAAAATCATAACGATAATCGTAATTGTTTATAATTTTCACTATGCTGAAATTTGAAGACTACATTGAATATGCAAACAAAAAGGATCATTGCCTTTACGATTTCTGGCTATATGCTGGCCTCAAAGGCATGATTAATTTTAATGATAACAAAGAAACTATGATCAGAAAAATAAGTTCTGTATATTATAATAAATATCCAAAACATAAAGAAAGTATACTTTCCTTTTAACTGTTGGCAATAAACATAATGATGAAAGTTCTTAGTGCTTATTATAAGAAATATCAAAACACCATCTGAATAATTGTTAATGTCTGATTTAGTTTTTAAATCCTCCTTGAACTTGACCTTCATTTTTTATAAAATATCTCATACAAGGACGACAGCATTATTTATTTGGTGATTAATGCTAATGTTAAATAACTAATAGCTGCTAACATCTGATTTTGTTTTCAAAATCCTCCTTGAAATGATCTTCATTTTGTAATAATGACTCATAACAAGGATGACAGCTCTATTTCTTGTGTTTTAATATTCGCATTAAGTGTTTTTGAAATTAATAATATACCACATAGTTATCTTTATGCCACAAATATATTGATAATATATTTTTTTTATAAATAGAATAAAAAATCTAAGCAACTTGATAAATTAATTCAATTAATAATTGAGGCTAAAAAGAACAATCAATACGTAAAATATAGACTGTATTTAGAAAGCAATGCCAGAACTAGAGGATGGTCAGATATATTAAAAGAAATATGCCCAAATTTGTCACTTGCGGAAGCAAAAGCATATCTGTATAATGTATGTATATGGTTAATTAGAATCGATTTATTTGTCTTATTGTATTAATTAACTATTAATTTATTTATTTTTACAGCTACAATTTCATGATGGTGCAAGTGATATCATCAAAATATTTAGTCAAATAATATATAATATTCGATTTAAAATGAATGATGATTTGCTTCTTTCAGGAATCTTAGATATTCAATTTATAGAGAACAATCATAAAAATCTCAAAAATGTGTATAATTCTAATGGAGTTTGGAACGAATTAAATGAAAAAATTCAAATAGAAAAATTGCGACCTCCTCTTAAAGACTTTATTGAAAATTATATCATAAATAACTCAACAACAAATAATCAAATTTAATAAAAAAATTTTTAATAGTTTTTTATACATACCGTATAACCGCAAAATACAATTTCGGACTGAATTATGCCTAATTCAGGCCGAAGTTCGAAAATATACCCTGCGCGGGTATTAAGCGTCGATGCCAAACTTTGCTTAAAATAACATTAATAAAACACGAAAAGTTAATATCTGAATGAATGAAATAAATAAAAATAACCGAAATATACTTCCCTCAAAGTTCTAATATTCAATTATAATAAGAGATGTAAAACATATATTTGAGAATCGTATCTGATAATAAAGATATTTATAAAACATAAACTCAATTAGCAATAATTTTATAATTTTTTACTTGACATAATTTCACATTCTTAAAAGCTCGGAAATTTATTATGAAAACCTAGTTTTTATTATCTAAAAAGCTAATTATAAAATCACTATAGTAAAAAAAATTCCGAATTAAGGACATGAAATGAACAAAATCTAATTAAATGGGTTGTGTATGACTAAAAATCAAAAAAAAAAAAAAAGAGAAATCAAAAGGAAAAATCAAAAGAGAAAAAATTATAATCAATTGTACTACTAAAAATACTTGCTATTTAACTATATCAATATGAAAAAGATATTATTAATTTTTTATGCTATTTCTTTGTTTCATGATCCAATTCATGATGCCACCAAGTATAGTAGGGCCCAAGATTTTAACGAATTGACCTAAGTCTATTTTTATAGTGAAGAACAATGCTTCGATTTGTTCGTATGCAGATACGACTGATAATTGTTTGATAATTAAAAGAATAATTCCTAATACTAAAAAGGTAAGACCAAAGATGATAATATATCGAAGTTTCTACAAGGAAGAGTTGATATTTTCGTTGGTGCAATTTGAAATATTTTGATCTGTAGTTGTTTCTTGATTAGAAGTTAAGTTTTGATTAGTGAATTGATTGGAAATTATCTGGTTATTAATTTGAGAAATGGATAAATTTTGTTGATTAGGAAAATTGCTCTTTATGCAAAAATCACAGATATTAATTTGGTTAATGCTTGAAGATAGATCTTGATCAGGAAAATTTCTCCTCTTGCAAGAATCACAAATATTGATTTGATGGATTGATTCTTGATATTGATTAAGAGTTGTATTGATCGGTGAATCTGAAGGTTGAAGTGTATTTTGAGAATTGTTAATATCACTATTTGGGGACTGAGAATTGGGAGTAATAGTATTATTGTTATGGCAAAGCGCTATTTGAAGAGTATTGATAAGCATATCTTGAATAGTAGAAGTATAGTTTTGCATCATAGTCATAAGTGCTTGATTTTGGAAAACAAGTTGTAAGTATTCATTTTGTTGTTGAGAGTTTTGATTATTTATATTTGATCGATTATGCTGGATAAGTTGATTCTCAATTTGTTGAGAGCGTTGACTGTTGATATTGATATTGGATTAGAAATTTATATCCTGAGTATTAATTTTCTCGATTCGAGGATTTCTTAAAACATGTAGGTAATAATCTGTAATATTATCCCACGAGTTATGGCAGGCTATTTGTTTATCTTGTTCACAGCAAGTTATTTGTTGATTTTGTTTGTCAGTTAATTGTATTCTATATTGAATGCAGTAGTCTAAACATAGACTGCAAGTACAGCTATCAATGTAGAAATGCCACCATTGAGGAGTCAGAGTCATAATGTTAATTAATTAAAGTCTTTGTTTAAGGAAAAATCGTGGGTATATATGAGTTTTCTGTTTTTTTTTTTAATTTAAAAATCCTAATGATAAAAATCGCGTGCATTTCTTAAAGAGGGAGAAATTTAATAGATGAACTGTATAAAGGGTCAGTCAATAAACATGATGGTTTTGACGAATCTCATATAAGATAAACTTTTCAGCTTTAGAATCGCGTGTTTCAATCTACTTAAATTTAAGATAATTCACGTAATATTTGATACTTATTCATTATAATTGATGATTTAAAGATAACTAACTCACTCGTGCAATAATCTATTTTTACTTCGGCAAGACAATTACATAAATTCAAAAGAAGAACTGCATTAAGGGGTCAGTCAATAGATTTACAAGATTAACATTCTTCGTGTTTCAGTGTCTAATCACAATAATACTGAGAAATCAAAACCAGTAAATAAACTTTGTAATTCACTAGTGTCGCATATTATTTTACTTCAAAGGTGATGCAAAACTTCAGTTGGATGAACTGCATAATGATCAGTCAATAGTTTTGACGAAATCTCATGTAAGGTAAACTTTTCAGTAAAAATACCATATCATAAATTCCAATTACAACTAATAAACTTCTTAATTCACTATCGTCACGTGTTATTTACTTCAAATGTAATGTCAAAAGTTTTGACAAAATCTCATGTATGATAAACTTTTCAGGCTTTAAAATCACTATTATAAAGTCATATCTGATAATCTTTCTTGCGTGAAACTTTATTTTGTTTGTGTGATGCTCTAAAAAAAAGTCGAAAATTCGAACGGGTTATGATAATTGACTAAGAGATTATCTCTTTTGAATTATATAAACAAATGTATAATTTTCTAAATAGAAAATTACATGATTTTACTTTTTTTGATATTTTTTATATGTAGCATATTCTAAAAATTTTTAGTTTATACTATATGTAGTATAAAATTTTATATAATGTAAAATAACGATATATGGGGCCTTTGCCTTGAAAATGACCTTATGGGACATAGTAAATTATATGATCCAAACTTGATTTTCAAGGCAAAGACCCTATATATTATAACGCTAACATAAAAGCCACTCTAATTTAAAGTTCAATTCAATTATAGGATTTTCATACAATTTACTTTATCTATATCGATATATTTAAATTAACGTTAACAAAATATCAAAAAACCTGTTCTACTATAATTTCCGGCTGCTTTTTATTATGAATAGATTAGTAGCACAACCAAAATTTAGCAGATCGGCCCGAATTTAGGGTCGGATTGGGCCGGAATTGATAAATTTTTTCTAAATTCTCCCAACTTTTACTTATAAACTGGCAGCCTATATATTAAGTAAAATTGCTCAGCTACTAATTTCGCTATAGTATAGTGCTAGTATAGTTTGCTAGTATTATTGCTTAATGCCAGCCAAGCTCCGGTCCGATCTGACCCTAAATTCGGGCCGATCTGCTGAATTTTGGTTGCTTTTTTATGATAATCTATAACATCAGGTTACACGATAATTACCATGGAAAATCCACATATGGGGTTGAGTCAATAGAAATCAAGCAAATATTTTTTAATAAATTTTTTTAAAACTTTAAACAAGAATAATTTAACAAAAACTTGATCAAATTTAACAAATTTTTTTTTAAACTAATTCTAAAAGTTTATAAAAATTATTTAAAAAAATTTTTATTAAATTTGGTTATGTTTTTATTAAATTATTCTTGCTTAAAGTTATAAAAAATTTTTATTATAAAAAATTTGCTTGATTTCTATTGACTCACCCCATATGATTGCCCGTGATAATTAACCAATCAAATTACATAATTTTTAAATCATATTACTAGGAATGAAAGATTTCGTAGGGCAGCAAGAATTTTTTATTAAGAGGACCTTGATAAATTACTATAAATTAAGAATTTACTAAAATTATGAAAGTATTATAAATATAATTTTACAAATAATAACCATTTATAAAGCTTTAAATACTATTTTTTATAGTAATTTATAAATTTTAAATTATATCGCTAAGAGCGACGATCAAAGAATTGGCCGAAATTACTTGAAACTTTACTAATAAAATTAGCCGCCTATTATATTTAATACTTGAGAACGGTGGTAGGGCATTTGAAATGGTTTAAATATTAGGCAAGCAAGACTTCGCATCATTAATAAAGCATATATGTGGTTAATTTTAAGTAAACACGTTTTTAGTTACTGTAATAATTACTCTCTTTAGAATCAATAGGCTTTATAAATGATGCATGATGAAATCCAAATTGGAATTCTTTGAAAGTTTTTATAGTTAAATTATTTTCATTTTCCTCTCAAAAATTTTAAGAATAATCTACAGTAAAGAGATATGCATGATATTCAAACATGATAGATCGACCTGATTAGATTATGTCTATTTGTTCCCCTTTATAGCATCATTATTGACCTTTGCCTTCTTGATTTTTTAAAGCACTTACTAGTGCTCCTGACAACAGTGATACATAATAAAATAGTAGCAACAATACGCACATTTGTCTGTAAGGTTGGAAAATTATTGTAATTTTGCATAATACATAATACAACCCTAACCAGAATTGTGAATTAGGCCATGCCAATTTGATTCTATGTTTAACATAAACCCCCCATTTTTTTAAAAATTTAGACATAAAATAAACACTAGTTTAACTAATCAAATTGCACTATCTGCTTTTGAAAATTTTTATATTTTGTTTAGCCAATAGAATTGCTATTTTTTTAGGGTTGTTGTTGATTTTTTATCCATTCTCTCTTGCAAAATATTTATGTTATGTAATATTTATGTTATGTTAAACAAAGAATCAATTTGGAGTGGCCTTAATTTCATGAATTATTTCTATCAAAATTATGTTTACCAGAGTTATGAATTTATATATATACCAAAATTATTTTTACAGTTAACAAATTGTCGAGTTATTCTTAGGGTTGGCATTACACTTTACATTACAAATATGTGTAAATTGCATTCTGCTAATACGTTCGAAACTGATAATTATATATTTATTTACATGCAGCTCTATGAAAATTTTGGTCGACATTATTCACATGACCAAAATTACATGTAATTTATTCTACCAAAATTATGTTTACCAGCGTTGTAATTAATTCATAGAATTAAATCTACCAAAATCATGTTTATTTATTAGATACGGGTTTATAGTGACATATCAACGAGCGTACAATTAGCCACACGTACAATTTTAGTCATTGTCTATTTAAGTGTTCCGCCCACAGGTTCCCCACTAATTGCCATACCTGAGACCCGCTTGCGGGTCCCTATTTAAACCTACTGATTTTCAATGTCTTTACTTGAAAATAAATATTATGGTTATTTTTTAAAATTTTGTAAATAGAAATTTTATGAAAAAAAAGAGTTTCCTAATTTAAAGCCGTAATTATATGTAAAATTTTATGCTGAACAAGTTTATTTAGAAGGTATCTTGGTAACGTTAACCTTCAACTTTGACCAACATTAACTTCAAACATGTCCAATATCATATATATAAACATTTAAATTTTTATCTAAAAGGTTATTGATATAAATTTTATTCAAATAATTTTATTATAAATATAGCTTGATTACGTATAATCTTTTTGCTGTGTGTATTTTCACCAAAGCTTAATTTAGGGTGAATACTTTATCCATTGTGTATTCAGCTATTTTATCTATTTAAGCATGAAAAGTTTAATAAACTGTTTTTTTTTTTTGTTTTTTTTTTTAAAAAGGCAAGAAGAAAGAATTAATTAATTTCTTTTTTAAAAAAATAGCTCTGTAACTTTGTTTGTAAAGATGTAACGCTGGTTTTTGCAAAATTTCATTCAAAACTATCAAGCCGTTAAGTCTGTGCATCCGTTTAAAATTTGCAATAATTATTATAAAATTATTACTTATTAAAAATTTTTGTTAAGAAATTTTATTATATAACTACATATCGATAAAGTTTTGATTTACTTGGTTGACAGGCCACATGTATACTTATTACATTGTAATTTACAAAATTGTAACTTTTACACTAATAGTGCATTGTCACATGATAATTGCACCAGCATTACAAAAGTTTTTACGTAATTTTACTAAAACTCTGTAAATTTTCAACGCAAAATTCCAGGCAAAAGTAAATATAGAAAATAAAATTCAATTAAATATAGTTTTATACGTCTAATAGTGATTATTTAAATATAATGCGCTTTGAATCGTTAAATTTTTGAAGCCAATTTAAAATATTCAAATATACTATTAGGCATAATCTAAGGCAAAATCAAATTTTATTTTCAAGCAAAATTAAGTATAACTCCGGCACTCATTTTATAGACTGACAATTGGCTATTAAGCTTTAATGCGAACTAAATTTTTATTATCAAAATAGTGCATAATATTGAATTTTGTAACTCTGGAAACATAATCTTGGTAGAAATTTAATTCGTAACTCTGGTAAACATTATTTTGGTAGAATTAATAAGTTTGGTAAATAGAATTCTAATAAAATTCATAATTCTTTTAACGTTAATATGAAGAGAGAAGTTATGTATAAAAGTTGCATTTTTGATGCAATATATTTATTAAAATCAAAAGAGTAACTTCGAACTTCTGTCACACATGACAAAAGTTCTTTTGATTTTAATAAATAGTTCTATCGCTATGTCAAAATCCCGAAAATCCAAATCCTGAAATTTAATTGTCGCGTCGTGTGTTGTCGGGGATCCAAAATTCAAATCCCGTCTTGATTAGTAATAATAATTACCAATCATAAGCAGAATTTAAATATTAGAACCCCGACAACACACGAGGTGACAATTAAATTTCAGAATTTAGATTTTCGGGATTTTTACATAGAACCTTAATAAATATATTGCATCAAAAACATAGCTTTTTTACGTCATCATTGTAACACTGTGTGGTTCTTATTTGAGAAGAATTATGATAAATTTAAAAAATTCAAGCAATACTTGTAAGATACAAATTCTTTTGTGTGTATTTATTAGCTTGTAAGCTTCTTAAGCGATTTTCTTTCATTTTCTAGTTTGATTGGTTAATTATCACGGGCAATCATATGTTATTAAACAGGGATATTCCATTATGTCTACACCTCTATGTTAAAAACGGGTTTTTTAAATTTTCGCTACCTGGAAAATTTGAATGAATTTTAATAATAAAAGCAAAATAGAAAGCTCTCAAAAAAATAATAGTTACTTATCTTTCTTAAAATCCAAATAATATTCAATTATCACTGGTCCAGTTTTATGCAATGTCGATTTCTGTTTTAAAGCCCATCGCTGTTATGTTATTTACTACGCTTGAGCCAAGCATATCGATTAACGTTGATTATATATACCGCGGAAATTCAAATAAGAAAACAACTCAGTATTAACAAATGAATACCAATTCCATATCATTATCACAAATTTTAAAAAGAATTCAAGATTATCAGGTAACGAAAACGAAAATTAAAGGGAAGACATTAAAAGAACACTACGTCTAGCAATAGTGATGTAGCTGGCACTGTGAATAGAAGAAATAGATTATAAGAAAAAAAAAACACCAAATGCGAGCGACGACACCAAAGACGAAGCTTTATTTTTTTTAAAAAAAATAGTAATGTAAGTTAATAAAAAATTAAAGGCATGTAACTAGCGTCTAAACGACGATGGCAACATATTTTTAACTAGAGAAAAAGAATTAACTCTAATAAAAAAATAAAAAAAATAAAAACACCGAAAAGTGAATAACGACACCATCGTCGACGACTCTAGGCAAAAAGTAATAATTGAATAAATGCAATTTAAAGTAGAATGGCTATATAGGGGGTGTTTTTTCTCATTGATTACTTGTCAAATTATAGTGTTATGCTGCCACATCAGTGCAATTAAATCTGATAGAGAATTGAAAGTGCATCAGACCAACCATTTGGCTTAACGTTATCTTCTATCAGTTATCTATGTTCCTGTAGTACAGGCCCTGTCTGGTAGAGAGGACCTTTCTGTATTAAAATACTAGAAAACATTCATCTGGGAAGTTGATGAGTATGTAACCATTGATGTTATTTGTTAGTTGATAATGATGATACAAGTATTCTATTTGGAATGATCTGTGTAACAAAATTTAGATAAATTCAAATTTATTTTTTTGCTTTTGTGAAAAGTCTATTCTCTAGGCTTGTTTCTAAATGGAATTTCTTTTTCCAACTACTGATTTCGTTTTACTGTATCAGTTTAACAGAGCACCATGTTGTGAAAAGTGCATTGAATATGGAGAAGCACAAAGTGGTCTAGGTCCATGCTAGTGTTCTTCATGTAAAATTGCGGCTCTTAAATATTTCAATAAATGGACTAGTGGAAATGCTTCTATTGATACTATTATCAGGAAAGCTCAAATCTCTGCAACCGAGAGTATAGCATATTTCGAGTGGATTCCATATGAAAATTTTGTTGAACAAGCTAACCAACTGTTTTCCACAACTTTTCTTAGGTGTTTAGAAGAGGTTTAGAATCTAGTTTTTGTGTAAATAGCAAAAGAATTCTATATAGCCTAATAAGCCATTATTTGATAGTTTTCAAACTTGTTTCTTTAGAATTTTAATACTATATATAATTTTGAATGAAGAACAAGTTTAATTAAAGCAGAAAATCAAGTTATCTTAATAAAATATTGTGAAAAAATAAAATTTTATTTGATGGGTCTATAAAAATTTTTTATATGGGATCTATGGAAAGAGTTTAAATTTTTATATACTGTAATAGTATAATAATATTTGAAAATATAAACAGATAATATATTAACAAACTTTATAATCATTACTGTGTTTTATTTACAATAATCACTTATTTGCAAAACTATTTGATTATTTTAAAATTTTATATATTATATTTAATAAAACAAAATCATAATGCCGGCCTAACAATCTCACCAAAAACTTTGATAGACCGAATCGAATAAAACCCAAAGTTTTTAAATACATCCTCAAATGTGTCATCGGGAGTTGCCATATCAGTGGATGCTTTTGCAAATTGAAAATTCTCGGCTACAAATACGATCACGTCACCAACAAAAAATCTTTATTGGATGTCAGCATTAATTTGTTTGCTTTTTTTAAAATTGCCTTAGATAGATCAGTTAGGCATTATTAGGACTTTGTTTTCTTTAAATTCTTATTAGACAGAATCACATGTTATTGGATTTTTGTTTTTTTTTTAAATTTTTATTGAACAAGTTATATATTATTAGATCTTCTCTTTCCTTAAGTTCTTTATTTATTGGATTTTTTACATTATTAGATTTTCACTTTGGCCTTCGCTTTTATTTTTTTAAATTTTTATTTATTGGATTTCCTGCATTATTAGATCTTCGTTTTCCTTAAAATTCTTTATTAGGCAGTTTTATAAAATTCATTCGGGCAGATTGCACATTATTAAGTTTTTGCTTTCTTTAAATTCTAATTAAACTGAGTTATATGTTATTTTGGTTTATTTACTTTATAAAATTTTTACTGAACAAGATTATGTCATTAAATTTTCGCTTACTTTAAAACATTTGAATAAGGCTATACATAACTATGTTTTTGCTTTTAGATTAGATTTAGTTCTTCATTTTTTTAAAAAATTCTTATGAATGAGATTTTGACATATTAGGTGTATGCTTGAACATTGATTCTATTGTTTGATATTTTGCACGAAAGAATTAAGATTTCTTTTTTTTATTTACGCTGTTATCTAATGCGTGTATTTAATATTTCATGACAATAATATTAAAACTAGCTTTTTATTGAGGTGAATATGACGCACAGGTTGTTACGTCAGACCCGCAATTTCAGATATATTTGATTGCTAATTGTTCTCTTGTTTTGGTATGTTAACTTTACATATAACGATAATAATTACTAAACAATCTTCTCAATTGTAATTGGTTAAGCAGAAATAGAAAATGTCAATCTAACCATTCTAAACATGAATAGCACCGATTTAATTTTTAAATATTATGTAATTTTCAGCTTTAAAAGATATAACCCGTTATTGGATACCTAAATCCTATTGGAATTTTATACTGTACAAAATCTAAATAAATGTAGCTAAAAATGGAGCAAAATTTACTAATTAAAATTTTATATAACTGTGAACTCCTTTTATTTTGAGTTATAAATTATGTAGTTTATGAAACTTTTTTGTTCAGAGTTATAAATAAATTCTATGAAGTGCCTCCTCAAAAAATTTTCAATACTGCAATAATTTTTTTAATATTTGCATAAATACATAAAACAAAAATGATAAAATTAAAGAAAATAAAATGAAAATACTTCAAAACTATTAAAACTATAAAAAAATTGTCAAACGACAAAAGACGATTCCTAAATTCTGACTATTCTGTTTCATATAAAGACATTTTTTCTAATATGAGGTTTTTCAAGTGAAGAATCCAAAGCATTTTTGAACAATATTTAAAGCTATTGATGATACTAAATTATTATGAGTCATGAATTATACATATGACAAATTACGTGGATGATATTTCAAGTTCCTATTTAACATTTGTTTATATATTTCCAACTATTTTTCTTAGTTTCGAGCTCTTTAACATCCTCCATTACATTCATTTATAGCTTCGTTCACGTCTCTCATTATTGA